CATGCTTTGAACTTTTCTTTAAAATCAAATAACCATTTTATTGATAATCAGATCTTAACAAGAAACATAACAACTAAAAGCCGGAACATTACAATCATAGTGTTCAATACTACACTAGGGTGAGACAAAGAACAAAACGCCATATAAAAGCACTCATGTTCGCTAACCCTGCAACAATGTAGACTCGTACCGCAGTGTGTCTGCTCATGCTACTTGAAATGGCTTCGGCTTGACCAGCCACCGAAAAGGAATTATTGAACTTGCCGGTTTTTCCAGCCACCGGTAAGGAGCCAAATGCAGAAATTGTTCCGGTTTGACCAGCCACCGGAAAGAAAGCAATCCATTCAATGTCATCTTCCTTGACCGGCGGTGGTTCAGGAGGGGGGCGATCGGCCACTATATCGATGCAGAAGAAATCCTGATTCATGATTGATAAAGAAGCCAATACAAACCTCTTACTAGCACACAAGAACACCCGACCGATGATGGCGAGCGACACTTCGCCACCAAAAGTAATATCTCTAGACAACGCTAGGAAATAAACGTATAGATAGAACTGAAAATACTAATTAAACGAAACTTTTTCCATGATTGAAATCAAAAGAAGAGAAGAAAAGAAGGAAGGGAGAGGAGGAGGAGGAGGCTAGGGTTTCCCTTCGCCGCTCCTCTCTCCACTTGCGTGACTAACTGCGAGATATGAAGCATGTTCATGTTTTGAACTTAAATGACCATTTTATTATACTCTAATAATTAACTATTAGCTATGTTTGTGTAAATAAATTTTATTTTCGTAATATTTAAAAGAAAAAATAAAAGTAATACCAAGTATAAAGGTGATAATTTAAGTAATAAGTAATAACAACCACAATTATTAGATTGATTATGAATAAATATATGGAGAGGATACATTGATACGTGGGCTAGCACAATAGGAGGTAGCCATCCCCTTTCACAAACTATAAAATCACAACTATCACAAACTTGTTATGAATTTATTTTTAATAGAAGGGCATTATTGTTGCTCTTATTCACGAAACTATAACTATAAGTTAAAAAAAAAGTTTCTCACCATTCAAAAAAAAGAGATAGCAGAAATGTCCGGGCATTTTTCTGCCTCTCAACAAATAATAATAATAAAGCCATTATTATGGAGTGCCCTTAAAATTGTAGGGAAAAAAAATTAGGATGTTATTTTGTTTTTCAATTTCTCATATACTGAGGTTGCGGCAGCAGCTCCTTCTTCCATGGTTGAAGCCACCGGTGAGGATGAGGGAGACGATGATGGAGATCCCGAAGGCGAATCTGATGACATAGACGAAAATGACATTGATGAAGGTGAACCGGAAAATACTTGACACTCTGTCATGGAAATGAGTAGAGAGGACACCAAAAGAAGAACGATGAATTTTTTGGACTCCATTTTTGTTTTTTGATTGGTTTTGAGTTTATTTGCTTTTTATTGTTTTTTTGCTTTTGAGAAAGACTTCAATAATGCTTGAAATATGTGAGGATGTTGGACATTTATATAGGTGATGGGATCTTGAAACCTAATGGTCATGAGAAAAGATAGATTTTTTGAGGACACGGTTATTTTACCATAAATAGGTTTCATTTTTTACGGCAAAAGTTATTTGACCATTGATAGTTGTAATTAGTTTATTCGCGTATAATTCGCGTATAATACACTCGAACGTATAATTCACGTATAATACTCCCGTTTATGAATTTTTCAATTATTTTTGAAAAATTCACGTACTTTAAGGATAAAATGTATAATACACGTACCGTACGTATTGATACGTATTTTATTACGTATAATACTCTTGTTTATGAACTTTTCAGAAAATTTTGAAAAACTCACGTACTTTAAGGATAAAATGTATAATACACGTACTGTACGTATTGATACGTATTTTATTAAAAAAACACACACCATTAAACGGAAGCCTAATGGAGTGATGCAACTGAAACAAAATGTCAAGCTACGTACTCAATATTATTTATATTGCTTAAAAAAAAGTTATGCCTTATATGTTCGCTAATTGTTTAACGGTCATTACATTTAATGAATTAGCTTCTTAAATTCGTAATCTGTTTCGATATTTCTATTGTACTACTACTGTATTACTTTTGTTCTCCACCCATACCAAGACTCCAAAGAGATCGAAAAAATGTTGTGGCGGCTCACTAAACTCATCGTCAAAGTAATATCAACTATTTTCTAGTAATGTCTCTCCACTTCTACTTAAATAGGCAATGCCATTTTTATTACGTATTAAACCTATGCATTTAAATCCGTAAATCTGAAAAAAAAAAAAAAAAAAAAAAAAAAAAAAAAAAAAACTATTCCGTACATTTTAAATTGTTGAAGATTGTGGTGCAAATGTTAATTGTTAAATAACTCTTTATTTATATCATTAAATAAGTATATAAGACACGTATTATATGCCGTATTTTTAAATTGTGAAACGTTTAAAACGCGTCCGTATCTTTATATATTTCACGAACGTATGAAACATATATTAAGCCGTATTTTATATAATTGTTTCGTATTATACACGAACGTACGTATTATTGTATTATTCACGTACCGTATATTACTAACAAAGGTTGTAACCAACTATTTGAATTTAGAGAAAGCTGCGATTTGAGAATTTTTTTATACTTTTGTATTTCATTTCTCGCACATTTTGAAGTGTATAACTTTAAACTTGTCCTGTAATTTTTGCATCGGAAACCATTTGTAAATTTAACTCTTATCGCTGGTAGTTTTAACAATGCAGCAAACTTCCATGAAACTTTGTCTTTTACACTGAAATATTATCGTCTCGTTTGATCTTGTACTCTTGTCGGGTTTATTTAAATCGGGTTAGGTCTAATTTATTATAATCAAGTCAATTATGGTATTATAATGTTTGAAATATTGTCTAATAGATAGATGTGATTTAATCTGATATGATATTGAAACAAGTTTAAATGAAAAACATTCCTCATTGTGCAACATGTTATAAAACTATTCCTTAACTTTATAACATGTTATAAATATAGTCTCTGTCGCCAATAGTTTAGAAATAAAGTTTGCTAAACGATTGACGAAACATGCATTCATTGAAGGCTACAATTATAACTTAAGTTTTCAACATATATATTTTGCGGGCCACATTTATAAGAAATTAAAATATAAACAAACAACATTTCAAAATAAATGAAGATCAAAAGTGGGGTTCTCGCTTCTTACAAATTTTAAAAGTAGTGTGTGTTGGGATTAAAAAATTGAGCTAACATGAGAAAATACTTCATATCCGTTATCATCAGTTTTTTCAAATCATAATAATTAATAAATGAAGCTTTCTTATGTCTATCATCGTCTTATTCCCCTCCATCTTTCCTAATCCATGTTATGTTCATGAAGAAATGTGTTTTTTCATCAAGTATATATCGATTGGTATTAATACTAAAAGGTACTCCGTATTGAAGTTGTTTCTAATATTAAAGCTACCTTCATAATTGAATATACCATGCTTCAACCAACTCTATCTTAATAATGTTGTTCAATATACCTTGCAATCACAAACTAAGATGCTGTTTATAATTAACCAAAACTTTATTATTGAAAAATTAGTAGGCTTTAGGATATGTATTTCAATTCAACCCACAATTTTGCATCTTTCTATACCTATTTCAACCTACACAACTAATTAATTTGAGTGCATACTCTATTTAGCTATTCAACCCATACTCGAATAGGACTTAATAATGTTTTCACATACTCATTCGATCAATTCGAGTGACCCTTCAATTTCTTCAAACACATAACATATCATAACATTATGACCCTTTTCAACCTATATTTATCCTTTTGGCCCATATTTACCCTTTTCGACCCCCCTATTCATCCATATTTAACTGATTCATTTCAACTCATTTAAGCATATATATAAGCCATCTATTTTCAAATATTTTCTTATCTAACATATTAAATGACATTCTACTACGAAAAATAGTGATGGTAATATTAATTTTGTACAAATATGACTCACATGTTGTTGTATGTTATGTATGGCTAACAATGGAAGATGAACGAAAATGATGAGTATTAGTTTTAACTTTTAAGGATGACTTGAAGCATGGGTTTCATTCATTTTTGAAATGCATGTATGAAGAGGTTGGATTTAGTCAGTCACATAAGTTAAAGGTGTCATTTCAAATTCCACGATTTGGGAGAAGGACGGAGTTAATAAAGCTTTAAGTACTTTTTTGAAAGACTGGAAAGCGCAAAGTATGTTGTTGAATGCAGATGATAATCGAGTAGAAATGGTGCTAGAAATTGAAAACAGTGGCATTGGAGGATCTACATGAACCTTGTAAAACTTATCCAAAAGTAGTTTACCATTACTACTTCGGTTGTGATATTGTTGTAGACAAAGCTTTGGGGCATGATCAAGAAGACATTGCCCTTATTCAAACACTAACATATTGTAGCAAAAGAATGGATTGTGAGGAGTCTTATGACACTTCTAAAGGGAATGTTTCTGATTGTGAGCTTTGGGAGATTACCAAGGGACATACGTCTATACCTGCACTTGAGGATGATACCATTTTTTTTCTCCCGGAGCATACCACATGTGGTGGAGGAAGTGCCGGGGAACACTTCCCAATTTTATTAAAAATCATTTAAAAGTACAAGGAATTGAAAGATACAAGAAAATTAAAGATACATATGCCAAGTGGAAAACCAGAAAGAAAAGATACATTAGCAATTAAAAACCCTAGTCAGAATTCCAAGTGAAGCTAAGATACTCCTGTCAAATTTGTTGTGGAACCTTATTGCGTTCTTCAAATACGGTTGGATGATACCATTTGTAATGATATATTTGAGGATGGTTCTGATTTAGAGTTCCTTAACAACGAAGCGGTTAAGAGGAAGCTTAGGGAGGTAGAGTCGTAGAGATTCAAGGTAATTTTGAAACCAAAAACTCAAAAAGGATAAAATGTGATAGGTAGGACAAGGTATTTCCTTAAATGACTATATGGCAGTTGTATTTGGATGATGTGTGCATCAAATATATATCATCTACCTATTTGTTTATGATGTACTCACTAGGTCTGAAACTGAAACTGAAACTCTTTTTGCATCAAAATTGTATTACATGGGTAATGAACACGTTTGTTTTTAGGCAAATATCAGGAAAGATCAAATGCAAGAATAGCTAACGTTTCCGAGCTTTCCTACGTCTAGATTCCACCTTCTGCCACTTCTTTCTAGGAACCACTTTGCTCTTTGGTTTTAACTTTAATTCAGGAGAAAACTTGTAGTCTGGATCTCTCATACGAGCTTGAATATCCTTAAAAAACTGCATATTCAGCTGCTTAGGTCCTCCCTGCCTCAGTTCAGCATATTCTGGCCCAGAAATGATGTTCTCGAAAGCCCCTATTAGAATGTCCACATCACTCATGACCTCCCACACATTAATGTATCTACCATCCGGCCCTTTCTTCAATTTCTTAAGCGCATTTTCAACTGCAAGTTTCCTTGCTTTCTTTCCAGGTGATAATTCTTCCGGTTCTTCCTCTTCTTTTAAAGCCTCAGAGAGTGTTCTGTACTTCGGCTTTTCATCAAACTCAAACAGTTTATCGATATATTCATCACTCTTCTCATTCGGGTAAGCTTCTGTGGGAACATCATCTTCATCATCTCCTTCACTACCTGTCCACAGTGTCTTCTCTTCTTCTTCATCACTACCAGACCACACACTTCTTAGTTCATCACTGTCATCAGCATCAATGCAATCTGAATGTTTTATAGCTCGATGCTTGGCCTTTTTTATTTCCTTCTTTAAAGAGCTTCTTGGCTCATTTTCAGGGTCACTCTCATCCTCACTTGCAGTCCATAGACAGCCATCCTCATCTTCCATTTCTTTAGCCCAGGTTTTCCTAAATTCTTTGGCTCCAGGCACACGGCCCCCAAATAGATCATAATGGCCTCTATTTCGAGCGTATGATCGTGATGCTGCAAAAGAAAAGTAAACAGGTAAATTGGTGCAATAGTCTACTCTATGATTAATTAAGTTGAAAGAATCTAAACGGTTCTATTCAACTAAGAGCCTAAAGACACAGATAATGAATCAGAGAACCAAAAGTTGAAATTTTTCATTGAAGACTTGTGGCAGACAGGTAATGTGCATCCAAAGACAGGTAATGAGAACCTTGAATATGGAGTGGGTATCTTGATGAGAGCCAATTACGAAAAGTGTTGCCATCAGTGGAGAATCCATGGCCAGTAGAGATTCTGAAGATGGAGGGCAGCGAGGACAAACGGTGGAGCCTTCTGGCTATCATTTCTGGGGATGTGAATTTTTTAGCATATGTGAAATAAAATCACATTAATGGTTTAAAATAATTTATAGAAACAGTTGAGAATGAATCTGCTTAGTCATCAGTTTCATGTGAGTTGAGTAAGAAATTAAAAAACACGGGTAATGCAATTGACAAAGAGATGCTGAAATTTCTTTTTGTTGCAAAAGGAAGTGTCGTATTTTATTCGTGACTACAGGAGTGTTTGGGGTTGATTAAAAAAAGCACTTTTCAGCTTTTGGCTTAAAAAAAGTTGAAAAGAGTGTTTTCAAATGATAGCTTCTGCTTAAATTAATCACTTAAAAGCTAAAAGCTGGAAGCAGGTAGAAGGGTGCTTTAAACTGCTTCTCACTTTTTCTATTACACAAAAAGTACTTATTTTACCAAACACTACCAACTTTTACTTTTTCAGAATCACTTTTTTCTCAAACACTACCAACTTTTACTATTAATCACTTTTCCCAAAATCACTTTAAAAAATCACTTTTTTAAAGTTGAAGCCATCGCAAACACTCCTGTAGGGTCTCTCATTGACTGAAGCATTTCATTGAAGAATTGGATAACCTATAAATTGAAATAAATGATTTCAAGGAAGGAAAAAAATGTGTGTAGAGAAGGCAGTAGTGGTATGCTTGCGTTTTACAAACACATGCCTCAGAAATAATGAGCACTGGATATAATGTACCTGAAAGCTATTTAGCATCTCAATTCTCATCTTATAAGTTTACCGTAGTTTAAAAAATGTTGCTTTCGGTGCGCTAAAAACTTCCAAATAATAGTACAAACATTGGTAAATCTTATTTCGGTTAGGCCTGGGTAATAGAGATTTTATTATATTTATATAGTCTCTCAAAGGATGATGTGTGTGATAGACTAATAGGTTCATGTTGATGCATGAAATATGGGAAACCCCAAAGAACAAAAAATTAGAAGGGTGATTTCAATTTATAACTCTAGGAGAGTTTTAAGTGTTGAAAAATCTTGTATTGCTTGAAGCCCTAAACAATCCCCTATTATCTCCGGATGAAAGGAAAATAAGTGGATTGATACTTCATGGAATAACCGTTACTTTTGACGGATTATTTCCCATTAAATAGTGTATAAGTACTAAAGAACAAATACAATATACGGAGTACTAATTAAAAATTCATAGTGGGATTGTAAAATACAGACCAAAAGTGGTCTCCAAATATCACTTCTAAATAGTCAAGATTAAAATTACCCATTTTATACGCTTATTTAAAGATGTTTGCTAATCTAATGACCAAGTAGATCAACTTTTTTGAAATAAAGTAGAACTTAATCCTAAGGGAACAAATTAAGAAGAAGCACATACATATTGTGTTGTATTCCAGTATTTTCTTTAGCCACACGGTTATTTAGAAACATCAAATGTGCTTTTGAATTTCAAACAATTGCGGTCCATTCGTCCATGACAATTATGTAATTTACAATTACATATTACTATAATGTTACACCAGAACATTTTAGATACCTAAAAAAAACTTGATCCTCATTCACCAAGTCATTTGGAGTTTAAGACTTTTTGTTGTTGTTGTTCATAAGAAATAATCCTAATCATCTCTTTATGACTAAAATTGCTAGAAATGATAAGCTGCATCAAAAACAACTCTGAAGGCTATTAGAAGAAGAGACTTCGAGACGGATTGCATAATATAAATGTTGGATAAAAAAATAAATAAGACATAATTAGTTATTGCTGATGCTGCTGAACTCATAGCTATATATCTAGGAGCCTACAATTTGAAGTAAATTAAGTACTTATGTGGTTGAGATATAGTCAATTAGTCACACACTACTGGGGGCACTAAACGTATCCATAGTTAGGAAAAAGAAGGCCTAGAAAGCCAGCAACCTGTGCGCTAAAATAAAAAACAAAGGTGAGGATAGATAGCATGCCAAAACTAACCAATGCTTATAGAGAAGGCAACAAAGAAGCAACTGATTGGCTAGTAAAGATGGTCGCTTTTTACAAAATGAATAAAATATTGGGCTGAAATGCCATCTCTTAAGAAATTTTAAACATAAGGATTCATGTTTTGAGGTGATCGAGTCTTGATATGAAACGGTCTCTTTTCACTTAGGTTCCCTCTTTATATCTCAGGGGTATGCCTCCTTGGGAAAGAAACTAACAAAAAATTAAATAAAAATATAAAATGGAAAATTCTGAAGTAGTGTTTCTGGATATTCTTAAGCTATAACTATATCCGTATATATTAAATTCTGCTTCCATTGTTTTAAACATTTGACTCCCAATTAACTCCACATATGATCTTGATACAATGAAGTTTATCACGAATAAGAAACAAAAAAAAATATTTGTATTAGAAGATATCTAAAAGCATTAGAACTATGCAATCACAAGTAAAAATACAGAATTTGTACTGTTAATTAGATTATATAGTTGTAAACTACTCACCAATTATGTTTGTTTCTTCAATAGTTTCTGGTGATAAGTATAATGCAATGCCGCTTCCTACATCTTTAGAATATGCCCATTAGTCCTGAAATATTAAGAGGAATAAAATTGCAAATTAAAGGACAGAGTCAAGTGTGTAGGTGAAATTTGGATTAATAAGTGTACCGAGATGATGAAACATATGTGCAACAAACCTGTCTCTTTCACCACGAACGTAGTCTCTGTGAGTAAAGAGGGCATTGGAAGGAAGAAGATCGCCGGAGTTCTGTAACAACGTCGCCACAGAAAAGCTGAAAAGGGATATCTCTCCGGCGAAGAGACCTGGTTGCTGCCGCCAATCCAGACTACTGCCTCTGAACGTCGACGTAGCCTAACACCAACCTAACCGCCACTATAATACTCCTCGTCGTCCAAATGGTAATGATTTCTTCGTCCCTCACTGTGTTGAAGAGGAAGATGATGATTTCTATACTCCGTATTTCCCTTCTTTAAGTTATCTGGGCTAGTAACATTATGGACTGGGCTGGAATAAATTATTAATTCTGGACTTGTCATCTACGTAGTATGCTATGTTGCACGGACACTTCATTCGGATGCCGTATCCGCGTATCCGATACGTATCTGTATCCGATACTCACCAATACACGTCTTGTACGTATTGGGTCTGTATCCGTAATTTAATAAAAGTATCAGATTTATTTTAAAAAAATAAAAACTTCTGATACCCGTATTCGGTCCGGGATACACGTATCTAAACTTAAGGCCCCAAATTTCTTACACAATCATGAGACTCAAAAGACCGTAGATGCCAAAATCAAATGCGAGTAACGATTCAAATGTTATTTAATTAGAAATTGCAATATTAGTACTTTAGTTGATTTCTGAAATTTTGCGATTCAAATGTTATTTAATTAGAAATTGCAATATTAGTACTTGATTTCTGAAATTTTATTAGGATTGTAATTTTTCGTACTATCATCACTTTATTTATGAACTCTTGGATTATATATAATTGCAAATCATACCCTATATTTTTATTATTTATAAATATACGTACCCTCGTACCCGTATCCTATAATTTTCAAAGTTGCCGAACCGGTGGACCCACCGGGCCCCGGGCCGGGCCGGGCCAAACAGTAACCGGGCCGGGCCGGTTCCGGGCCGGGCCGCCCGGCCCGAGTCCAGCACTACGTATCGCTGTACCCGTATTCGCGTATCAACGTATCCGCGTATCTGTATCCGTGCAACATAGGTAGTATGTAGCATCGATACGGGTACGCGGAAAGTCAGAAACGCGGAACGGGTACGGGATACGTCAAAATAAAAAAAGTAGAATATGGATACGGCGCCATATTTATAAATATTAAAAGTTATGAGGGTGTATTTGTAAATATTAAAAGTTATAGGGGTATGTATTTATAAATATTAAATACTTCCTATACAATTTTTTTTGAAAAAATACACATATTAGCCTCCGACGTCTACCCATCCATGGCATTGAAGTATTTTTACATTTTCAAAATACTTAGATTTAAATTCATATTTTATTTCACATACACAGAGTTGGGTCAGGTCTAGCCCCCCAACTCTGTACTTTTCTTTTCATAATAAAATGGTTGCTTCGCTCAAAAAACAAAACATTGGTGCATCTCTAAATATAAATATAATCAATAACTCATTAATTTAAAATGAGAAATAAGTCAAACAACTACAATTTTAAATTAAAAGTGTAAGTACTCAAAGTTCTAGAATAATGAAGATAGAAAACATTATTTTAAAAGTTCTAATACATATTTCCGTTGGAGCTATTAATTTTCAAAGATAATTAGAATCGGGATAGGAGGATGAGTGAATTAGAATAGGTCCGTTAGTTGCATACCACATAAAAAGCAAGGTAAAGATTATTTTTAACTTTTCATCTTTTACGAATTTTATTATGTAAATTTTGAATGGTTTTTTAAAAAGTTTTTTTTGGAAGATTTAAAAAAAAGTTGATATGTGTATCCATCAGGATACGAGTATCCGAAATTTTAAAATAATTACCAAAAAAAGTGGAAACTTTTAAAAATTACAGATACGGACCGGGAACGTACGGTATGAGTATTCTAGAGTATCAGATACGGGAACGTTTCCGATACGTCGATAGGTACCCTAGTGATATATTTGTGCTTCATAGCTTATCATACAAAGAACAATGGTAACTAGGCCAGGCTGACTATTATAGGATTATTAATAACTAGAATAAAATATTAATAATAATAATACGAAAGTAGTAATAAAATCTGGAATGTTTTTTTAAAAACAATAAAATCTGGAATGTTATTCAAAGATGAATTTAGCTTGGTTAGATTGATAATAATTATTTTTAATAAATTTGTCACTTTTTAGTTGGGATAGTTGTCAACTAATAACAAAATTAATTGACTTGTTAATTAACCCAAAAATAAACGAATAAGTTTTTTATTTCATTCAACTATTATTGGATTATATTAAAATTAAATAGAGGGTTATTATATTAATTACCATAAAAATATAAGATAGATTTAGTAATGTGAGATAATTATAAAATGTGTATATATAATATAATTAAGGTAATTAGAATATTTAGAATATGAAAAGAGTTGGCATATTTCAATATTATAAAATATAAGTAATTATTTGGATAATTTATAAGTAGATTAAATTAATGGAGACTAACAAACTAAAATAATTATATTACTGGTATGCTAAAATAATTAATTATTATTCAGATACAATAATTAATTATAATATTCGAGGTTGAATTAAAATAATAATTAATAATAAGGTGGATTAAGAAATACAGTGGTAATTAATAATTAATGAATAATCCAAACTTGAAAAATAATGAAACATGATAATTAATTCGAATAAAATATATAGGTGAGAATTGGGTAAATTGATTAATAGAATAAGGACTAATTATGTCATCTTAATTTAAAAGGTGATTATTAAGAGACCGGAATAGAGGAAGAGAATTAGGAGCATCAGATTTAAGGTAAGTTTCTCTGCCAACCAAAATAATTATTTTTCCCGTATTATATGATTGTGTTCTGTGTGATTAAATTTTGAATTTTGGATTATGTATATTTATTGTTCGGAGTGATATTAAATATAGATTATTTCGAGGAGTACACATTATATAGATTGGGGTATTAAATATTTTAAATACCTTTGAGATTATTTGGAGATTTTGATAAACGTTTTTGGAGATTACTTTGACTTAAAATGAAAATTAATATTTTCATAAGAGGTAGTACCGCGGGAGAAACTCGGGGTGTTGGTTTTTCACGTCCAGAAAAACGTGGAGGGTGGTTAGGACTACTACTACTTTGGAGAACGTGGGGTGTAGTAGTAATAGTTCTTAGTCACTTAGAGTTATCTTTGAGGTGGGGTAGTTGGTAAATTGCATCCCGACTACTCGTTATAGCTTACTACTTGTTACATCACTTTTAGGGGTGTGCACACTTAAGATAGTCATTTCATTTTCAACAAAGAAGAGTAGGTGGGAACTGGGTTCCGTGGTGAGTTCGTACAAAACAACGGCTCATCGGCTCGAGCAATCTCGAGTACCGCCCATCTTAAAAGAAATTACGAGACATAGTGACTTTGGTTTTGGAAAGAGAAGAACTACTTAGATCGTTTTTAGAATAATATGGAGTATATACTTATCTATAAAGTATATTTCCAAACCAAAACTATTTTGCCAAATTATAAAATTTTACGGGGTTGGGTAGTACTTACTTAGTGTTGTGCTAATTTTAGTTATTTGTCTGTCCTTTTCCTCTCCCCAATAGTTGACATGGGATGATTATGAGGATTGATGGATGATTGTGTGGTCCCAAAAGAGGCTTAGAGATGTCTTAGTTACACTTAGCCTTGAATAAACTTTTATTTAGAGTTATAAACTCTTACACTTGTTTTATTGTTTGAATTCGAGATTGCATGTGCATTCGATCAAGCTAGTTTGGATCGTATGTGGCGGTAACACCCTTCATTTTCCAAGTGATTGTTCCGCTGCTCTACTCTATTTATCTTATTAATGAATAATGTTTTACCAATTAAAGTACTATTTTGGGAGGGAAATTCAGGGGTCTTACAAGTTGGTATCAGAGTCTAAGGTTCCAAAATCATTCAGAACATCCCTTGGAACCATCATCCTTAGAATCCTTGAAATTCATTCCAAAATTATTTTTCATTGAAATAATTTTTAAATACCTCATAAGCATATAATTTGTTTCCCGGATACCTAAATATCTTGTCACCGTGGTGTGCCTCTGATGGCTTAGATGACGTCCTTAGACATCGGTATGGTTACAAGGGGTGAACAAAAAAACCGAAAAACTGAAACTAACTAACAAATCGATCGAAACCGACCGACCAAAACCGAAATCGAACCGATAAAACCGAAACCGACCGAAAGTAACTAATTCATTGGTTATTTGGTATACGGTTCATATTGTTAGCTTAAAACGATTAAACGAAAATAGACCAACAAAACCCGACAAAAATGGCTAAATCGGCCGAAAACGATACAAATTGACCGAAATTGACTCAAGTTTTGCAATCCGGTTCTCAGTTTCATCTACTATAAAAGTCGCTGAAACGGAATGACTAAAAACTGACCAAAACCGCCCGACTAAAAAATAAAAACCGACTAAAACCGAATCGATAAAACCAAATCGATGAAATTGAACCGACAAACACCCCTAATGGCCGCTACAGCGTGAGGTTAGTGAAGTTAGGTATCCACATTCCACATATTCTTTCAAGTCTCATTTATTGACCCTCAATGAATCGGTCTATTAGGACCCTTATCACAAAACAAGTGGTAGGAAGGAAAGCCCGAATTAATTGATCAGTCAAAGGTGGTTAGCCTTAACAAATGTATTTGAGTGTAGACTAAATTGATCCATGAGTAAGTCTCATTAACAATATGAAACTCATAAGATGTTTTGAAAAAAGTCAAGTCACCCCCACTTTGTGCACAGAAGATAGGTGATTAGTTTTTATATGGGGGTTCGAAGTTCTTTCAAAAAAAAATTGTATAGGGGAATAATCAGTGGATACAAATACTAATTATACATAGAAACATAATTGATTCTTTAGGTTTATGCACTCATTGACATTAATAGATCGTTAGACTAAATGATTATTACAACACAATTCAACACACAACTGACATGATATTAAGAGCCCATTTGGTGACCCTGTTTTTCAGCTTATCAGATTTATCAGTCAACTTTTCCACCAAACAAGCTCTAACAACCAACTCGATGTCTGATGTTTATTTGGAAAACCATTTTTTATCTCTTCAGTGGTGTATCTTTTTTTGGGGTTTAATAAGAACTCTTTTTAGAAGCTAAAACCCAGTAGGGCCTCCATTTTCGTAATGAAGCGCATGATACAACACAATAACACAACTCATTCGAACTGAACTCCAATGAAC